CGGCTCATGTTCAGCCGGCTGTCGACCAACACCCCAGGTCCTTTTCCGCCAGGCAGCTTTCCAGCCACTCTTCCCCAAGCCTGTAGCGCTGCATGGGGTTGTTGTGGCCAAAGTGCAGGACCCGGCACTTGGCCTTGTTGAAGCTCATACAGTTGGCCTGGGCCCATCGATCCAGCCTGTCCAGGTCCCTCTGCAGAGCCTTCCTACCCTCGAGCAGATCAACACTGCCGCCCAACTTGGTGTCGTCTGCAAACTTACTGAGGGTGCACTCGATCCCCTCATCCAGATCATTGATAAAGATATTAAACAGAACTGGCCCCAATACTGAGCCCTGGGGAACACCGCTCGTGACCGGCCGCCAACTGGATTGAACTCCATTTACCACAACTCTCTGGGCCCGGCCGTCCAGCCAGTTTTTGACCCAGCGCAGAGTACACCTGTCTAAGCTGTGAGCCGCCAGCTTCTCGAGGAGAATGCTGTGGGAGACGGTGTCAAAGGCCTTACTGAATTCCAGGCAGACCACATCCACAGCCTTTCCCTCACCCACTAGTCGGGTCACCTGGTCACAGAAGGAGATCAGGTTGGTCAAGCAGGACCTGCCTCTCATGAACCCGTGTCAGAGGACAAGAGGAGGTCAGGCTGACAGGCCTGTAGTTCCCCGCATCCTCCTTCCGGCCCTTCTTGTAGATGGGCGTCACATTGGCAAGCCTCCGGTCATCCGGGACCTCCCCCGTTAACCAGGACTGCTGATAAATGATGGAGAGCGGCTTGGCGAGTTCTTCCGCCAGCTCCCTCAGCACTCTTGGGTGGATCCCATCTGGCCCCATAGACTTGTGAACATCCAGGTGGTGTTCATTTACAATGAACTCCTCACTGGTGGTCTCATACATTACTTTTACTGCACTGGGACAAGGGCAGTAATGCTTCTGAACCCTGACATCCCACAGATGATTCTTAATGAAAACCCATATCAGGTGGTGCAACCTGCATGGGACATGGTTCTTTGAAAGATTTAACTACACCAAAAGAATCACTGAATGTGACCAGAGACAGCGAATCTTACTTTCTTTGCTAATCTTGCTCTTAAAACAAGTTATGCCTAAATGTGGTTCAGCAACGTGTGGCCACCTTTTGTTGGGATGAGACCCAGTTGCAGTCCCCTTCTGTTCCCTCTGCAGCTGCAGCTTGGAAACTGGAAACCCAGATGCGGGAGCAGGTAGAGAAGGGTGGTGCTTCCCTGCGATGGAGACAGCACAGCAGAACATACCTTCCCAGAATATAATGCTGCCTGAATGACCAAATTAATTGTAGCGTTAAAAAAATGCTTGTTTTAGATATTCTAATGATAACCTCAAGCTACTACCTCAGTCTAATGAAGTGATTAGTGTATCCTTGAATCCATATACTGCAAGGCCAGAGACTTGATTTTTTTACAGGAAATCATATCTGAGCATGATTGCCAAGTTGTTTCTTTTTAGCTTGGATAGAATGACAGATCCACAACTTGTTGAGTTTAGTGGAAGTTTTTCCATAGATTTCAATGGGCTCTGGATGAAGAATGTGATATTTGCTGAGCTGTACAATGTAACTTTCTCATATTTTAGAAGGAAATAGTCACATTTAAATGGTAGCGAAAACCCGATGTAAATTGTTATGTTTCTCAGCCTCTTTCTGATGCCCTGACTGTTAAAGCAGAATATATATGAGTATATAAACTGCTGCCGGAATTTGCCTGCAGGACAAAATACTTGTTCTTGAGAGAAATCCAGGTGTACTTCAGACAAGGAACTAAATACCTTTATTGCCTAAGATGGCAAAGGAACCGGGGGAACATTTAATTCAGTTCAGGTGTAGCAATTTGGTAGTTTTGTCCTTCATGTCCTCACCTCTGCTGATGGAAATTGGGCTCATGCTCACTGAAAGCAAAGGGCTAGAGTTTCATCTGGTGATACTTTAATAGCTCTCAGATGAGGTACCTTAGATGAGCATCAAGCCCGGTGGAGCAACTGCTGTAAACTTCAGTGAGTGAGAGGAGAGTCAGAGCCTTTCATGATGGTTAATACAAGTTTGCTGGCAGATATTAATTACACACATATTATAAAAACACATATAAAATCAGATTTTGCACAATTTTTATATATATATCGCACTTTAAATTAAACACGTACAAATCACAGGTCAAGCTCATAAGAGGCAACACTGAAGTCAGTGGTACAAAACTGGTATATATAGACTTTGAAAACTTACTTCTGTTTTATCCTACTTGGATTTTTCTCAGAACAGAATTTGCTTCAGTGAGAATACTTAGGTGAGTAATGATTGCTGTCCTAAGGAAAAGATTCGAGAGTAGACTGTTTGAATCAGTAACAGAACAATCTCTCGCTTTCCGAGTATATAACCAGAGAATAAACGAAGCAACTATGATTTCTCATGCACTGCATTTTTGTTTTTCATTTGGACAAACAAGCACACATACTTGAAGAACTCTTTGCCAACAGCAATAAAACACTTTGTGCCAGACTGCTATTGCTTATATTATAATATTACATTGTGACTTAAGCTCTATTTCTTGTGTTTGGTGCTTTTTGTTTGTGCATTGTTAGGTTTGGCTGGCTACAGTACTAGTGTACTCAAGGCTGGCAGACTCTTCCACTCATTTTACAGTGTAAATATTCATTTTCACAAAGAAGTGATGCTTTTTTTGGCCCAGTGAATTCAAATGCTCGGCTATGCCTTATATACAGTGGTTAGAAGAGAGAAAAATGGGAGGAGACTACTGCTAAGATTTTTTTGTATCTATAGTTACTGTATGAAATGAATGAGGTTAATTAGAGGCTGACATTCTGGTGGCTCTTGTAGGTATAATCCAGACACTTTTGTGAGAAGAAAAACAATACTGAATAAGCAAACTTTTTCTTTCTTTCTTTTTACTTTTTTATTCAGTTTTGAGTGGAAAGGGGTTTCAGCTGGCGGAAATCAACAGTTTTATTAATCTCAGCGGAATTTCTCTGGCTAACAGGGTTTACAGCTGAGAATCCTATCCAGAATTTAAATTTCTCTTGCCTTTTTTTTTTTTTTTCATGAGACAGGGAAGCAGATTTGCCCCTTCTGAAGAAATAACAAAAACACAAGAACAACAAATCCTCAGCAGCCTTTTCCCTAATCATCTACATTGCAGATGTGTTGTCTTATATCTGTTTCACCTCAAACATGCCTAAAAACCCTGAGCACCACATCTTGGAGAGCCCTTTGTACCTCTGGAGCACAGAAGTTGGCGCTTCTTATAATTTGAGGTACATTGAGAAGTAAAATTTGGACTCACATATTTCAGAGGGTTCCACTTCCCTGCAGAGTGCCTGTTTTGAAATATAAAAAGGTCTACATTTCCTGCTGTAGTTTGTTATCCTTTAGAAAGTTTCTTCACTAATAGGTTGTACCATCTGTTGGGCAATTTGTCTAGATGCCATCTTGCCAACAGCACTCCTGTATTTAGTCATGTTGCAATGTGTACTAATAGAGTAGATAGGCACCTGTCTCCCTTTTCCCTGTGTTTGATGAGGTGAAGGGAAAGATCCCTGGGTGTTTTTCTTTTTTCTATTCTTTTTGATAATTTCAGTATCTCTCTTTTGTTTCCTCTGTGTAAAACACAGAGAAGGTTCTGAGCCTAAGCATCTAAGCAGATCCTTTAAAAAGTATTTTCTTTTTTCTTTCTAAACTTTTCTTTTTTAGGGGAAGGAGAGGAAAGGGGATAATAACTGGAATTTTAAATTCGTTTTCTTTCACTTAAAACCATGTCAAAATACTCAGGCAAGCTCCTGATTCAATGTTTTTTGTTTTAGGGCTTTTTTCAAAAAGTTAGTGTTTCCTCTGTATCCAACCAGTTCTATCTAAAATTGCAAATATCAGTCAAACTGGCCTCACAGAGAATAAAATAACACCAGAGGTTTCCCACTGAAACATTCAGTCAGAGGGTCAGCTGCTGGCATTGCATGTACCAGCTGGGACATAGCAAAGATGCTCCCAGATTCCTCGAAGCCCTGCACACTTGCAGGTTGTGGGACTGCCTGTCACTCTGCATAGTTGCCATGCCACATGGGTGCATGTCTTCTTCTGGATCTGTGATGCTGATAGTATCTTTTGGAGGATAATCCAGTAACCACCTTTAAATTGGCAATAATCTGCTATGAAATACAAGGTACCTCTGGATGGTAACATTCACCATACCTGCAGTGGAATATGCCACGGTGAGAGTCCTGTGTCCTTGCTGAGTAGCTGAAGCCTCCAATATCTACTTACCCTTACTCATAGCTGGGAAAAGGGCACTACGTAGCAACAGTGGGAGAAACCTTGTTGGAAATTCATCTCCTTTTGTCTTTCTGAATAGTTTTTATCACACTGCGCTCCTTTCATCTGGGAAAAGCAAAAAAAACCCTCATTTAAACACCCTATAAGAAATAAAGCTTGGAGTTAGTAGAGTGAAACAGAAGTATAGCAGGACTCTAAGGTTATTATAAGGAGGAGCTGGGAAGACAGAAATCATCTAATTAGAAGTAAGTGGGGCAGATACGAGATAGAGGAACACGTGCTTATTCTAATCCACTCAGGACAGTTGTCCCAATCACTCTTTCTTCCCACCCCTCTTCCTTCAGCCAAAATTCTACTTTAAGTAGCAGTGCAAGCTGTAGGTTTTATAAACATAGTACTGCTCCTAACTTCGAGTGTCAAGACGGGTTAGGGGGAAAGTGCAGTATTTGCAGCTGACCTTTCAGAGCACTGTGTGAAAAAGGATTGACAGCTCCTTTTTGGCTTAAATCTTCAAGGGCTATGAGATAATGTAACACAAAATCATTTCTCATTCAGTCCCTATAGGCACATTAAATGTTTCGTATTCTTTCAAAAGTCACTGAAGTTACAAAACTCATTACATTTTATTTTAATTATATCCACTTTTTTCCTTTTCTTCACTAGGTAGCAATTATTGGTGAATATATATATTCAAGAGAATCTGCATTTTCTTTCTAGCCTGAAATCTAATATGCAGTTGCATTAAAATTAGTCTGTTACCAAGAGAATATTCCAATAAAAGCTGGTAATAATGAAATAATTCTGTTTGGATTTAATATAATTCCATATTAAATACATTAAGGGTTCTTCTCTTTCCTCTTTTGATTTTTTTTTTCCTTTTTTTGGTGCTATTCACCAGCACAACTCACAAAGGTAAAATCTTTCCAGTGTCTTCAGGGTGTGAAGTACGTTGTTGCATACTGGCTTCCCAAAAATGGGTTGTACTTTTAAGCATATTTATGCTGACACCTGTGACTGACCAATAAACCCCTAAAATGGAAGAAGGCTCAGAGGAGATGGGTAAGGGCAATGTGCCCATGAAGCTCAGGGAATAATGCAGGGTGTGACTGATCACAGCTGTTGCAAAGAATCTGAATTTTATCTCAACATAAAAAGAGGACCCGAGGGTGGCCTTTGTTCTAGATAAACAGCTATCAACAGCTGAGTGGATCAACTGGTGGTGTAAATATTTCTCCCTGAGTTCTTTAGAGGAGAGTGAATGTCTCCCTGAGTTAGCCAGACCAGCATGGGGAGAGTGAATACGTAGCTTAACCCATCACAGAGTATAAAAACTAAACAACTAACAAAAGAATTTCAAAGAGAGCAACGGGCTTGAGCTGGTTTCAACCCACGTATTCCTTGACAGCAACTGGGGATGCCCAGTGTCATTATGGTGAGCATATTATAGGGTTGAGTAATGGGAATGACATCGGTATTGTGATTGAACTGTATATTGCAATTGCTATACATTTTGCTAAGTGTAACTTACATTTGTATTGTGTTATACAATATATTTTTTTATCACTGTTAAAACAGAAATCCCATCTTTAAATTAGTAAATTTGATATTACACCTTACCGTCTCCATATGTGGAATATCTAAAAGAACTTGATCAGAGGGTATTGGACTCTGCTGTACAGAAATTCTGGGATCAATCTGAGACTGTTGAACTGCAATTACTTTGGAAATGAGACAGCAATAATGGGCAGAAATCTAAGCCAGAAGGTACGTTCTTGCAAAATATAGATCAACAGAATAAAATTGCCCATGGTAGAATTTGGTTGGAACACAGTGATAAACTATATTCTTAGAAAGGATGACTATGTTTGCAAAGATCAGGGCTGTTCAGAAATTTTTCTTTAGGATTTCACTGAACTGGCAGAGGTGCCTAAATATTACCAGGATTGGCTCAAGGCAAAGGCAAATATGTCTAGAACTGTGAATCACTTCCTTTAGTTATTTGGGGTTGGTGGAGTTTTGTTAGTTGGTTAGTTTGTTTAAGTTCCCTTTCAAAGACTTTAGTCTCTCATTACTTTGCTTCTTTTCTATAGTATTGTTAGAGGACAGGCTCTTGAAATTCACTTGTCCAGTCCTTGCTGACATGAGTTATCATGGCAGGCCAAACACCACCAGCTTGTCCTGGAATGGGACAGCGTAGCCTGGGCCATTGGCCAAACCACTGAAGCTATCTTCTGGTCTCTGCTGTGGGCTACAATAGCTCTTGCCTATTGTAAGCACCTGGAGAAGGTTGCAGAGCCTGCAGACAGCCTGCATTTTGGATGGCTGGTCAGCAGATTTAAAGGACATATAAGTTTCAGTGAAACACCACATTCTGAAGTTTCATTTCCTTATTTAAACAGTCTATAAATGAAAATTATACAGTTTTTAATCTCAAATATTTTATGCTTTAATAAGAACAACACAACCCTGCCTTTCTGTCTCTCCTCAGATACCAAAGGTTCATTACCACTCATTGGGTCCATGTCTTGTAATAGCATAATTTAAATAAAAGATTGTATTCACTGTAAGAACAGCTCAGGGAAAATTGAAAAAAAAACCCCTATAATGCCCAATAAAGCAAGTGAATGTAACCCCAAACCTTGTGAGCCAATACCTTTCAGGGCAAAGGCTGAAATGAGAAAGGTGCAAAGCCTTCTTCCCTTTCATGTACATCTCCCTCATTGTTCTCTTTCCTTGCAAACTGCCCAGTCATGGCAGATATCTGTTACTTCACCTGTGCCTGTGGTGTGACTGCTTGCTGGATTGGATGTGTGTATGTCTTAAGACCCCATGGAAACCACAAATTCCCACTGTTTTATTACCATTATCTCCCTTGAAATTCAAGCTTATGAGAATCAGATCTGAGGATAGGGCTAGAAAGTAGAACTAGTTGGAAAGAGAAACTGATTGAATGATTTTTCTATCAATGTATTCAGTTTCATCAGAGTGAAAATGTTTCATAACATAGTGTTGATTTCAGAGGAATATTATTTTGGAAATAAGTTTAAAACATTCCCACAGTGTCAAAATATCCCCTTTCACTTTTCCAGCAAAATCTGCTGTCTTTTTGTTTAGGAATCACTTTTAGTTTTAATTTTTGACTTCTGCATTTAACTCTATATCCTTATATATTAGTATATTAGATTAATAATATGCTGTATTATATATTTGTAAACACATTGTACATATTTTATGATGTAGTTTGAAAAGGGAAAAAAATGAAATGTTTTGATCTGGACAAAACATTTCCAGTGATGCAAAATCTAATGCCAGAGATATCAGAATTGTCTGCAGATTTTGTGAAGTCCTTTGCAAAAATGGAATTTCCATGCTCTGTGCTCCTCCTTTTACAGACACACCTTGAGTGCTCAATCAAAGTTGTTCAGAGTAGCTTGAGTAGTTGAATGGAAATAAATTACATTTAAAAAATCATTAGTATTATATTGGTATTTTAGGTCTCTATTATACCTGGTAATAAGATACATCAGAAAATCCTCAAAGACCACACACACACAGAGTCTGGTGTGACAGGTCCTGGTTTGTGACTCAGGACATATCTGCACCAGTACAGACTCAGCTAGCATTACCTTGGGTTTATAAATCTGGTGGAGTGGTATAGGCCTCCTGAACCTAGTCACTCAGGTGTGGGAGCTTGATAGCCCTGTGCTTAGTCTGCAGTGTAGACGTACTCGGTGTGTTTCACACTCACATGAATGGGACCACACGTCAAAAGATGTATGGCCCCATCTCTAGCATGGTCATAGAAAGAAGAGACAATGGAATAACTGCCTTTCTGAATGCCTGCATCTTTCTTTTCCTTGTTCAGAGGAATGCAAGTACCTTGCTGAGCTTTGTGGACCACATCTTTGGAGCTAATTGGAGCATGCTGGGAGCTGCCATTCTTGACTCTTTTCATGGAGAGGCAGGGTAACTGAGTACCTGGGTCAGGGTCTGGCCCTGGTCTTTCCTGACATGGTAAAGCATTGTCGGAGCCACAGGAACCCCAAACACTGACTTCTAGTTTCTTTCCCTGACCATGGAAATATTTTACCATGCAAGCTCTCTAATACAAAAAAAGGCAGTGATAACTTTGCCGCTGTTCTCACCCTGTATAACTCAGATTTATGTTTGTAACTCCATAGATACTCTGATGTAGTGCTACAGATACTGTCAGCTTTAATTATGTCTAAATGTAAGGTGACATATTAAATGGCTAGCTCCATTTGTAATGAAGCTTAAAAAAATAGATATTATGTCTTTAGATATATTACTTATTCTTTTTTGAGTTTTCACTTGTTAAAAAAAAAAACCAAAAAAACCCCACCATGGAATTTTCAAATCAGATATAATTAGTTTTTGCTTTAGAAAAGTAGTCTGAATTACTCCATAATTGCACTGATGAAAAAAACCAAGTTAAGACTGTGGAAATGGTAATGAAAGTATAACCTTAAAAGGACTGGAAGCTAATACCTCTGAATCAAAAGACAGTCTTTTAACCTGTAGCCTCCACAGTCTTGTCTTTACCTTACAGCCATTAACCCTGAGAAGTAGTGTTAATAATAATAATTAGCCTATGTTTTTATTCTAATGCACCTATGCCTAAATTCTTTTGAGTGCATGGCAGAGGTGCAACTATAAATAAACCCTGTAGCTTCCTCACCAGAGGCTTGACCCCTTCCATGTGTTGTGATTAGTAGGTGCATTCATTGCAAAACTCCCTTCTTTCTAAATTACACAGCCACATACTGACCGAAATGCCACCCCTACAGCAATGAAGTATGACCTCTAACTTGTGAAACCTCATCTTTATCACTCAGTCCCTGGTATCTCCTGGCACTGGAATAATGGTGCCTTTTCACAGGGAACAGAAAGCCAGAGGAACAGAGCTTCGAGGGGCAGGGGAAAAAAATGGTACAAGAAAACCTTTTTCTCACACTCCCTTGCTCTCAGAGAATGGGTGTCAGGAGTGAGTCTGGGGAAGGGGTTTTGTGAAGTGAGAAAGACACAGAGAAACAGGCTGGTAAAACCCACAGAGTGACTGTATGTAGTTGCTTGTTAATTTATCATCCCTCTTCTCCTCTAGTCCTTCTCTGTGAATGTCCAATTTCAATGGTAGTGTTTCTGGATAAAGTCAAAGCCTATTCCATATCCTGTGAGCTACTGAGCACATTTCAGATGCTGGATAATCAATGCCTCTGGTGGGAAAACATGGAAGATCTTTGCTGAAATAGAGCCTTTCATCCAGGATCTTCTCTGTTGTCCTTCTGGTGTTACAATGAGGGTCCCTTTTTCTTATCCTGGAACACAGTCCCAGAGGCTGTTCCTTCCTAACTCTGCAGATAGAATGGAAATTTTTGCTACACGCTCCACTAGTGTTGATCTCCACTAGTGTTGATCTCTCCATGTGCTTTCTGAATAATCACGTCCTTCCAATATTTCTCCAGCATTCACTGGATATCAGGCTGCCGAGACTGATCTCAGATCATAGCCATGGCTATAGTGCACAGGGGAAAACCTGTCTGAGCAGCTGCAGCTTTTGAAGGGTGGACCAGAATTATAAACACAGTTGGAAATACATTCTTTCGGCCACTGGAGGGCTCACAATTTGTTCATCAGCTCAGTAGAGAGACATGGAGAACAAGGGGGGAAAAGTGAGTGAAGTGCTCAGTTCCAGGGAGCTGTTACCTCTGCACATGGGCTCCAAGGTCTCTGTGAAAATGTTTTACGAAGTCAGACTTTGCTTCCCATGGTATACTCCTGTAGCCATCACATGAGGAAGTCAGGAGGGAGATAGCGGTCATCTTGAGGTTATATGCAGTTTTAACAAACCTATGTAGGAAATTATCTGCTGATAAGTGAATCTTTCTGTGACTTGTTTTCTCACGGCTATATTGCTTCTGGCTCACGAGCTTGATCTAGTTTCTGCATTACACTGAGTAGACAAGCTTTGGGCAGGTAAAGAGTTTCTCAAGTGTCCTTAATCATTTTGACAATAAAGTTATTGATAACTTGATTTATTCTCTGCAGTTACCTGGGGAATTGCCTGGGGAAAGCTCTTTTGCTCTCTTGGTGCAATTCTTGCAGGGAAGGATTATAATTTGTTATTATTTGGCTGGGGGCACTAGTCAGTGCCCATGCTTTGGCTGTAGTCCTTCACTCTGGGCCCCTTACTTCATCATTCACCAGCATAAGAAAGAGTTTTATCATTGTCTGTCATGTCATCTTGGTTTTCCTCTGGTGTTTTGCATTGCATTCCTGGAGTAATCAAAGCTTGAATTTGGCTCAGTTACAATTTTATGGACTCAAAGCCGAAATCCCAGAGGAATATCTGACAGCTTGCGTAGTGGAGGACATCCAACTAGATGCTTAAAATTACCATGGGCAGCTACAAACCCACCACAAAAATAGCAGGATGGAGAAAGCCTACTGTAACCAGAGTAGTACATTTGTTTACCAGTCAGTCTTCCTTCCTCTTTTTTGAGATGTTCAGCTGCCAAAGGCAGTGATACAGTCTCCTACTAAGATTATGTTAAAGCTAATTGCTGCCATAAATTGTAGCTTATGATTCCAGTCCTCTTGCAGTCAACCCACATTTTTCCCCTGACGTCAAGAAAAACAAACTTTGATTGCAATGGTTACCATATCAACTTCCTCTTAATTTGAGTTGCACTCCCCAAATAATTTTTCTCCTTTTATGATAATGTGGATATAGATGTTCATCTGTTCGTGTAAGAAGCTATTAAAATATCTCCATATTCATCTCTGTCTATCAGTCAATGACAAGCATAGATGCATTAATACTGAGAGCGCTACAGTGGAATTCAATTAACTTATTAATAAGACATCAGGATGTTTTAAAGCCTGTTAGTGCTGTGCTTTGGGATATGATCCACACTTTGATAAATCTTCTGGGGTGCGTAGGCAGTGAGCGGAACGCATCTCCTTGTCAGTGACTTTGTGACCATGGATAGAGAAATGACTCTCAATTCATTACAAATGTAATTGTTGTAGTAGTTGCTGTAGTTCTTGCGTTGTCAAGATTTCCAGTGCAATCAGAGCTCACATCCCTTCACGTAAATGAGATGACACAGCAGTCAAGTTGTTTACCCTCAAGCATTTAATGCAAGTTCTTTGAATTGTCCTTTGGAGACACCTACCCCTCGCCAGTCAGAGAGTATGGGTTACCCATAATGTAACATACCCATATAAGAGTACTGGGTTACCCATAATAGATTTAAATTGGTTAAGCTCTGTCTCAGCTACAGCCTGTAGTGTCACTGGCCCTACCTGGATGTGTCTAAGCCAGTCAGAAAAACCTGATCAGTCCCATTCTCTAGTATGGAAAGCAAGTGGCAAGACACAGCCTGTACCCAGACAGCTGAATTCCCTCCTTTCCCCAAAAGCAAGTTGGCCTCATCCATGGAGCCTACTGGAAGGAGTTTCTTGCCTTGGTGATGTCCTGAGCCATGCTTGGGCATTGGCTGGAGTACTGCGAGGTGGATAAAACCGTTTCAGGAGCATGCTAATAATGGGAAAAAGGGCTGCCATGAGACAGGAATCGAGGTTTTCCCTGGTCTTGTTTCATTTATTGCTGCAGACGTAGCTCCTGAAAACAGTTTGCATGTCAGTCATTAAAGCCATTCCTCAACATAGCATCTGCCAGTTATGTTTACCTTCTTAATAGAAATGTTGTGAACTGCTTTAAATGGGGAGAAATATACAGTTCAGAGACTGGGAGTATGGATCACGAATTCAAAATCTAAAGGAAAGAAACATCACCGTTGAAAAGAATACAAAGAGCCCTATATTATTCCTCTAAACCAGCAGAGAAAGGTATGCACACCCCAATTAAATTAAATAGAAAAAAGCTTTTCCTTCAGGTATACCCTGTTATGTACCTTAAAATATGCACTGAAATAAATTCCCACAGACAGAATGTTATCATAAGTCTAATTAAATTTAAATTCCTTATGGGACATTAACTTTTACAACAGAAAGAAATTGTTTCTCTTTAAAAAATTTAATTTTTATCTAACTCACTCTTCTGAGGGAAGTGCTGAATGCAAGTTTCTTCATAAGATTTACTCACAAAAGGAGTGTTTCTCAGGAGTTAAATCAGCACTGCTTTGTGTCACACAAGGGACCTTCCCAGGGTATTGTTGTACAGGGACATGAATCACTTACAGTTTCCACAAACATAACTTGATTTTGACCACTGGCCTTTCAGGTTGGAGAAACAAAGTCCCGGGGGCAAATGTAGTGAAAATAATAGAAAATCTGTCTGGGTGTATTAGGTACTATTTAGTCATTCTCAAATGGTTCCCTCTTTTTTGAAATTGGTTTTTTATTAATAGGGACTAAATTAGTACAAAACAACATTTCTAAGCATTTGAGAAGAGAAGCACCCAACTGGTGCTTCTTACCTACCGAGGGAATTCGTGTCTGTGTGTCCAGAGTTTCCAAGCACCTGTTCTACAGTTACAGCCTTTAATTTCTGTAGAAATTACTTACAATTACCTATGAAAATGGAGAAGCAGCTCCTCAGTTTTATAGAACTAGCAATTCTGGATCTTGGAATATTCCTAATGGCTTAAGCTTATCACATAACTTCAGATGAACTGCTCCCAAAGATAAACAGATGATACTCAATAGCAAGTTAGCTGTTTAGGTTATTTATGTTATCTGATCAGAACTGTAAGTTTTTTTAGTAAGTTCATTAGCTACACAGCAGAGGACTGTGTGGCAGGTGCACCTGCCCTGGCAAAGACCGGGGGCATTAAGACCTCTGCATCCTCACTTTTTGCGCCCTTACTTTCGTGCCTTTACAGTGGCGAGTGCTGACCGTCACACACGCTTTGGGCCAGTGATTACGGTCATGTATACACCTCGGGTGAGGGGTAAGAAAGTCAAGGCCCTCAGCCAATCAGAATTGACCACAGATCAGATTCGACTAGGGTATAAATGGAGCCCCACCAGAGGGCAAGTGGAGCCGGTCCTTCTCGGAGCAGTGGGTCTGCAGTTGGGGACTCTCCCCTTTGGTTGGGACACCGCCCAAGGAAACTCCTCGAGGTTGAGAGCCCTCATCTCATAGGTGAGTGATTGTGCACATTTTGGATCCTCGTTTCTAAAGCCAGCTGTGCAGTATTAATCCCTCGTACATCATCCTGAACCTGGGGTTTACTGTGGTTGTCGGAGTGTTGATGCCTCATTTCTAGTTAGTTTTCTGCTAAACAGTTTTGTTTAAATAAAGTTTATTTTTTAATCTGTCACCTGCCTAATTTGATCACATGAGCCTCCGTGACAGACTGGCAGCTTTCCTTCAATAATTTGAAAATAATAAACTACAATGTAATATACTGTAAGCAGAAAATGGACATCCTGATGATGTGAATGGGGCTGTGGGTTTTTTGTATTCTCTAACGTAATGATTGCCAGCCTCTACAGACACTTACAAAAATAAGTAACTCTCCTGAGTTAAATCAGTCTTTCCTGTACTGCGGGCATCAGTTTTAATTTATAAACCTTTGCTTTGCTGCAGGTGAAGTCTGAGGACTTTGCTGGAGACCCAAACTTATACATAGAAGATCATTACGCTACAAATGCATCAACACTCCCTTATCCTTACACAAACCAAAACAAAGGTAGATCTAATTCAATTTTACAGCAGGATTCGGTGTTGACTAGGGTAGTACTTGCTTAGGATGGAAGCTGAATTATTCTCACTGCCTTTATTAAGAGAGACTCTGTGACTAATATGGAGGCTGGGGAAAGTGGGGAATCAGCAGAGTTGTTTCGTTAGCTGCTCTTTTATGCTGTTTGGAAAACAGGCTGGAAGATATGCAGAAGCCGCCAGACACTTTGTTTGAGGTGGCTAAATCAGCATTGCTGAAATAACCAATCCACCTCAGGATGCTGTGCGCATGTGTGTATTTGGGGAATCTGCTTGTCTTTTTGCTTGAAATATCACACAGTACATTTTGAACTCATGTTCCTCCAAGCATGAACTGTGAATCCATACCCCACACGCCAGGAAAAGGAGTCTCACTAGGGATGCCCTGAGCAGCTTAACGTCATCCTGCTCCACTGCTTGTCTCTTTCTTCCAAGCTCCTCTGCTAGCCAGAACTGGCTGTTTGAGACCCTCTCCACAAAGTTCTTCTCATGTCACTCAGTTCCTAACAATCTTTCTGCAACACGTGAGGAATGGTGCGGTATTAAGCTTCTCCTAACACTTACTGAGGATTATCCCTCCTCTTTGTCACCTCTTGATGGCAAAAGGCACAGCTGAGTTTTAGGAATGCTGAGGCAGAGGAATGGATTAAGTGATGCCCTGAACTGTGAGTCTAAGATAAAGACTAAAAACCAATGTGTACCAACACAGCAGTAGAAATACCCTGTTCTCACCCATCCTTCTGATGGTAGAGGTAGGTTTGACAATCATGCTATGGTCAGAAAAGTGCATTTGAGTTATTGCCGTGATTCAGGCTGTAGTGACTGGGTACAGAGCTGCCGGACAGGTACCTCCATAATTTACATGTCTTATTATCCCATTTATTGTTCCTTGACCCTCCTTTTTGCTGCCCTTGTACCTCCAGACCTGTTCCCAAATAAGCCACTCAAAACCCCAATCACTTTTCTCCACTGGTCCCAATTTTGATACATCTGTATCCTAATGGGGTATTTCTAACACTGTTATTGAGGTCATCTCAGTGTAGCCTGCTGTTGCTGAGGTGGTTTCCCAGGCCTTGCCAGCTTTATTTCTTGAAGGTCCATGGTGCTCCCCTCCACTGTTGGTGGGGTTTGCCTGTCTCTCACATAACTCTCCCTTACCCGCTGGTGAAATGTTGTCATCCCTCATGGCTCTGCCTGTGATTTTACCAGCTTCTCACATGGCTTTCTGTCACATCTGGCAATTTCTCGTCATGGCCAGTAGTTTTCCACATGCTGTTGAATTAGTTTAACCTCAGTCCACAACCTAGACACTGGCCTAGTCGTTACCTGCTGCCCCAACAGTCTCTACACATTTTCAGAACATTTCCTTTTTTGAGGCATTTCCCCTTTGACCTTGCCTGGACTCTGAGCTGGCTGCTCTTTAACCCAAGGATCGTTTCCTGGAGGTACACTGTCCTTTCACTATTGGTGACAGCCGAGATGTATAGCTGAGTGCTCTCAGGATTGTGCTCATAGTGGATCCCTTCAGGTGTTGCAGGAAGCAGGGGTGATGTGGGATGAGGTTGGTGCCTTCAGTGCTCTTTAACACTGCTCAAAAGAGCAACTAGAGATGTTTAGCTATCTTGTCCTGTTTTAGGTTAGCAGTGTCCTGTGTGTGCTATGTTAGCAGTGGCAGACCAATGCAAAATAAAACCAGATATAAACCGTCATTAACTCCTATATGGACATCATGGCACTGATGTATAATGTTTGTGTTTGAGTTAAAACTGACATGTTTTGCTAGGCTGGTGGCCTGTGAATGCAGGGTACATCTTGAGAAGATCTTTAGGACATCCGGATCTTCAAGATGTTCAAGGGCAGTTATGCACCATACATGCAGCATACATGCTGTTAGTGAGCTGTCCTGGATGCATCTGGCAGGTTCTTGGTGCCACATCCCTCTCGTGTAAACAAAACTTTCTCAAAAACTGACCAAAGTTTTGGAAACCAAATTCATGGGGCCAGACGAGGATAAGGTGAGGAAATCTCTTGTAAGAACAGAAATGTCCTCTCTCTGATACAAAGTGGTGGTTTTGTTTTGAGTTAAAAAGAGAGTTTTCAGAGCATTCAGATGGGAATTCTGTCATGTTTTTGTGAGTGCAATGGGGTGTCTCTGCCCCAGGACAGTAGCAAAGTTATAACTCATTGATGTGATTGCATCCTGATGCTGGATGTTAAGTGGGGAGATGGTGAGTAGGACTGATCCCCACACAAGTTTTGGAAGCTTTAATGTGCCTGTGATACTACTGAAGCCCTGAAAAACTGAAATTCTGGATTATAAATCATCTACCTTGAAATTAAATGTATGAGTCACTCAGCAACCACATGATTTAGTTATAGCTGGCTTTGACGGACTTTTCACTGATATTTATCTCATTTCATTGCAATTTTCTTGACTTCTGGGAAAAAATGCAGTCATTTTTAACTCAAAATGGCATTGAATCTGTAGGCAGAATTCCTTTATCTGTCAGTGGGAACAGGATTAGATTTGCAGTGGTTACTACATCAAATTTTCTAATGAAAGATTATTACAGTCCCTTATTAACTATTCCTTTTTCATGATAATTCAGATATAGCTGTTCATCTGCTTGTGAAACTCTTAAATATCTTCAAATTCATCTCTGTCAATCAATGATGAAGTGAGCTGCATGAATACTAGGAAAATTACAATAGATTCAATTAACTTTTATTAATAAGATATTGGAATATTTTACAGCCCAGTAGCAGTGCGCTTTGGGACATGATGCATTCACTGATAAATCTCACGGAGTGCTGAGCAGAAAATGGATTCCTTCTCAGTGATTCTGAAGTCACACTTAATTGCACAAAATCAGATATGTAATTCTCAGCTTCTGCCTATGGAATAGCGATGGTGGAAGCTGCAGAGTAACAAAGATGAGATGTTTTGAAGGATTGGGCACTTTCAGCTGAAATTTTGCTTGATTAGAAGAGAATTGAGTCTAAACCCTTCAAGACACGGACTCCATTTTGATTTGTGTCTATATTTGTCAGTTGCAGTAGAGATGCTCTTAAGGGTATTTGTGAGGCGGTTATGTAGACTCGTGAATCTTTGACATTACATAAATGTTTATAATTGATTGACCTAGTAATACACTAGTAATTCAGACTGCTAAACACCTCACAGATGAGAAAGGTAAGATTCATAATGTGCAAATTCTGAGAAAAGTGGAACTTTGTCTCTGTTAATCTGTGCATGTTTTTATAAATAGTGATGGAACCAGTAGTTTTGTGTACCATGCATTAATCCTAAATGCACAGGAAATGTATTAATACTGTAGAATACTGATAATTGACATCTTATTTTCTCTTCTATTGTTCAAGATCCTAGGCTTGCCTTCAAAGCTTATTACCAAGGTAGAGCTGGAAGAACTATTGTTAGTGCTCAAACACTGCGACTGTGTTTGCTGTTGTTTGAGAGACTGAGCAGAGTGTTTTGGCCTGAGGAGGTTTTGTCAACTACCCACAGCAGAGATGGTGAAATTCAGGAAAAATATTAACTTGAAGGATTGGGGTAGATGGGAGGTTGAGGGAGGCTACTTATACACACACAGATAGATCCAGTATATATACATTTTATTATTAGTACCACTATCTGATTGATTAGAAATGGGCAATAATTTCCTTAGTTTGATCTTTTTAATTTGTAAGTTCCTGGGATGACGAGTTTGCTTTTCTTTGCAAACATACATTGACTCTTGCTCCCCATCTGTTGGAAAGTATCTATGGCTACCTGTACACTTGAAATAAAAGGAGCCAAGGCCTGTTCTTTGCCAGTGGGATAGGTAGCACGTCATGGTTTATGTCCATATGGTTAAACTTGTTCTTAGAGCAGGCTGGCCCTGATCATAATGTTTTTTGGGAATAGTCCCTCATTCATGGCATCCTTGAATTGTGGCTGCATATTGTCCGGGATCATCCTAGTTAGCATGGGCAGTTGCATGCCTTTACTCTAGCCGAGTCCCTGACTCTGTTCAGAACAGGGTAATCAATAATTCTGTATAGACTGTTCCATCTTTTCCATTCTGTGTAGTTTTTGTACTGCTTCATGATTTGTGAGTGAAATTGTTTTCACTAAGAATGAAAATAAGGATTTTAAAATGTGCTATAAAAATCTTACAGCTTGTCATTATTAAGGGAAACTAATTAAGGGAAATAAATGCTTATTTTTTTTCTGTATTTCAAGAAGTGAATTTATTTCCAAAAGTAAGCTGTGTTGACTCTTTAAAGAAAAAAGCATACAAGAAGATTTCTGAGAATTTCAGATGCAACAGTAAAGACTATACTGAAGACTTTAGAGGGGCTTGTGCAGACACAGCCTACAGGATCAGTTCTTGATTTGACAGATGTCATAACTACTTGGACAAACACTTAGCCTGTTCTTGTATTCTGGAGAAAAACAGCCATGTGAGCTGATCCAAGATCAGGAAACCTCATCAAGAACAATTTCCCCTATGCCATTTTACAATTTACTGTGTTTCTTATGGAAAGGCTAAAGGGAAGGGACTGCAAGCTTTGTAGGCTCCAATGCCCAGAGGCTTTGCAGGTATATGGAAGAACCTATCATCAGCTACACATCTGCATGGGAACCTGCTTGGGTGTACCTGTTACCGCAGAACAGCACCAGTCTACCAAGAGACACAGTTGCTGAATCCAGTAGCCCAATGGAAACAAGGCTGCTGCAGCCCCATGGCCCAAAGACCAACCAGTAGTGAGGTTGAGCATGGGTCCCCAGCAGGCACATGCACACAGAGCACCTTTATACAACACACATAAGCACACATGGTTGGTCACAAAGACCAATACGGACAGAAAACACAGTGGTCACAAAAATGCAAATACAAATGTTTTATCCTGTTCCCTTCTCTGGCTGATACTGAGGAATATATATGTGTATATAAATGCATATATTTAGAAACAAATGCATTAAAAAAATATATATGCATATATATGTATGCGTACATACATATATATATACACATATGTACAATGTGGATCCCTCCAGCAGATGCACACAGACATTCATCTGCCCAGTAGCTGAACCTGTATCCCAGTCTCCCCAGTTTCTGGCACCTGGGCACATGAGCCCTGGAGGTTGCAGCCTCACTCCAGCTGCTGGTACTCAGACCGTACCCCCCTCACACATACACACAGATGCAGACAGGTGTCTCAGTGAACTCCCCAGACCCTACAGTCTCTCCAGCAGTTGTCCTGGACCCCCTCATACCTTTAGTAACCAGCTCAGATTCAGTCAGGTCTCTGCCCCCTTGTACTCATCATGCTCAGATATGAAGTTCTGATTTCTGGTTGCAACTACAAAATGGTTTGCTGGGGATAGAAGGGAAACAAAAAATGTATTCCAAAAAATAAAAGAACTTAATGCTTGGCCTTGTTTTTCTGGTAATATTTGGTTTTTATTTGTTTTTAACTTGTTTTGGATGAGGAATGAAAGGACTGGAGAATACACGAGATCCTTGCTCTTCTAAATTCAATGGCAAGACTTGCAAAGAGAAAATTTTCAGCCATTGAGCTTTTCCAGGTTTTCCATATGCATTTTCTTTTGTAAAAAAGTGAACCAGTGCCGGAACGTCAGTCAGTACAAGCTGGATTACCTGTATTTAATCAATGTAGCTGTTTCAGTTTTCCTCAACAGAAGATCTGGCTCTCAGTTTCAAAGGCAGGAGTGATAATTTTAAAAACTTAAAGTTTTATGTGAATCCATTCTGCTGTTATTAAGGAAGGCGAAAGTGTTACACAGGAGGGAGTGAAATTAGCTTTGAAATGATTTTGCATGTAGCTACTTAGATTTTTTTCCCCTGGCTTACTTTTAGCGGAAAGGACATGCTTTCTGTGTCTGCTTTGAAAAGGTTTGGTCTGAAGAAGAACAGAACTTGCTGTTTCACTCTGACACCTATCATGTATTCCCTGGATGCTTGGTCCAAACACCACAAAGTGCCTTCATTACCTACCCCCATTCCTGTCTTTCCCATCTTCTATTACTTTAAACATAGGAGCAGTGCTTGATCACCTTTGAACCGAAGCTGTGCACTTATTACCAGATTCATATCCACAGCTGGGTAACTGCTTTCCAGAAGGAAATTAAATCTGCATGGAAGAAAGGGAAAAATTAAGGTAGTTTAAATAAATAAGGTATGTTTTCTCTATCTGGTAGTCTTAGGAACACAGAAATTGTCAGACTGGATCACGCTCCAGGTCTGTCCAGCCCAGCATCCTGCCTCTAACAGCAACCAGGACGGGCAGCCTCAGAGGAAGACACATGAACCCCAGCATACGCAGACATGGCATAATCTGTTCCTCTGTGATGTCTCGTTTTTACTCTTCAGAGACCTGTATTGGGGTAATTATTGTAGTTCTGGATCTTGTATTACTGTGTAAACTTCCTTTTCTTTGAATGGGCCTTTTTTCTCATTTTTGGTCTGAGACAAAAGTAGATGCAATGATATTAGAGCTTAATGATGGTGACGATAGGGGTGATGATAGGGTTGAGTGTTTATGGGTAAGAATCAGGGGGAAGGCCAACAAGGCAGATACCATGGTGGGAGTCTGTTATTGATCACCCAACCAGGACGAAGAGGCAGATGAAATATTCTATAAGCAGCTGGGAGAAGTCTCACAATAGCTAGCTCTCATGGGGGACTTCAACTTACCAGATGTCTGCTGGAAATACAATACAGCAGAGAGGAAACAGTCTAGGAGGTTCCTGGAGTGTGTGGAAGACAACTTCCTGACACAGCTGGTGAGTGAGCCAACTAGGGAAGGTGCCCCACTGGACCTGT